GTATGCCTAGGGCACGAAGTGGATGATTAAAAGGCGTAAGTAAGCCTTAGGTAAGCAATGGGGTCCCGCGGTACTCCATACAAGGTCTCAATAGCAAATCCTAGAAGACTGGAAGTCCTCCGTTAAGCTGAGGTTTCAGAAATGTCCTCCTAATTTCAATAAAAATTTCGACTTTGAACACCATCCAACTGATATTCGAGCACCAAGGAAGGTGCATACTACGTAAATAGCCAGCCAGCATCCTCTGTTTATGTGACCGACAGTCTGCCAGCAATATCAGCACAATAGGTAGTTCATTGAGGCAAGCAAGGCACTGATAAATTTAAAATTATTTTTAAATTACGTACCACACGATCACTTGCCATCACGTTGCAAACCAAATCATACCTAAACGCAGACAAACATCGATGCTCTTGTTTCGCAACCCCTGCTGCCGTCAGCTTTCGCAACGAGAAAAACCGTAATAAAAAACCGTATGACGCAAGACACACGCCAAGCCGGGGCAACAGAACACGCAAAGTTTTCTCCGCTTCATCCGTAGTCGATCGCATTATTGGAGCTACCTTTTCATTTTCCTCGGAGATCGATCGAAAACGTGACCCACCTAGGTAGCTCGCGACCTGGCCACTATCGGGTGACGCTGGCCAGCGCAGACGCGCAGGGGTGCCAGTAGACCCAGGCTAGTTGGGGGAGTGAAATTAAGGGGAGTTTTAGATAACAAATTTTGCTGCACAACCCACGGACATTTTAGCATCTGAACATTTTAGTTTGGCATTAAGAAAAAACATTTTATGAAACAAATTTTATCGCATTGCTACACTTGTCAGCAAGGCGAACCTAGAATCGTCCATGAAGTCATCCAGGTAGCGTACAGGAGCTGCGCGTTGTGGACAGGGCTTCTGTTGATTTCTGTAACAGCACTACGCTTTTTCCTGCAGTCTCGGCCACTGTCGTCATGACGATGACCGCGGGCACCTCTACTGGTGTGAATAAAAGAACATTTGTGATTTGTCCGGTACGCAAGGGCCTGTTACCGAAAAGTGCATTGGTTCAAGTTTGAACCAGTGCGTGACATTGATCATGTGATACTCCTATCCGCAAAGCCAAAGTCCTCGAAAAGGGCCACTATGGTGAACGCAACAGGGAGAAATCAAAGCCATAGTATAACGTTTGTTGAATTCGGGGATAACAGCTACATGATCGCATATCTTTTTGTCTAAATAAAGTGTATCAAGCTTTCGTAAGTTTTATTACACAAACATGTTGGCATGTTAGTGTGTTGCAAACAGTATAGAGCACACGCGTTGGAAAGAGCAAGGCAATTAAATGTATTGCTTTCATAGTGGTGACCAGGGAGTCAGATGGGATTTCTCCCGTAGGACCGCCTACTTCAAAAAGAAATTCTGAGCTATTCAGAAGGATTCCGAGAAAACTAGTATTGTGGATCAAGTTGTACGCGTCTGACGAAACAATAAGTGAAAAACAAAAAGGAAGGAAAGTTAATGAAGGCCTGACGGAGGCTCTGATTCTTTAACGAAGGCGCTGACGCTTTTCAGCGGAAGATAAATTAAAGCGTAAAAAGCCTGTCCGATCCCGAATGTTTCTGGTGTCCGGACTCGATCGGCCTCAGTGCTGAGGTGAACAATAGGTGAGAAGAAACCACTTCAGATCTCTCCACCCCTGCACATGTGAACAGACCAGTGAATGAAACAATAAATCTCATCAGACCACGCCCAGGGCAATCCCCTCAACAGGCCAGCAGACCAGACCAGACCAGACCAGACAGACCGCGACAGGCCACGCCCACCAGCCGCCCAGATCAGCGAACCCAACCGGCCGCCGCGCTGCGTCCCCGATGTCGGAGGCGGCCGCGGCGCGAGGTGCGAACCCCAGCCCACCTGTGGTCATGACGATCCGGCTGTGGACGCCACTGCCGCCGTCAGCTCTGTTCTGGCGCTGCCGCCGGCAGGACCCGTCGACACTGGCCGGCCACCCCGCTCTGCAGCCCCTCGGTTTCCGTCGTCAGCCGGGATATTTCCGGACCACCCTCCTGTGCGCCGTTAGCCGTCCGCCAACGTTCCAAAAGCGTGCCGCGCACCAGCTAAGCCCGGCCGAGGGCAGGGCCAGACTGGCCTGCGAGGACGCAGTACGGTCCACAGCAGGCCAGCCCAGCCGACAGCCTCGCCGTGCGTCAAACAAAGCGACGTTGTGTCGCCAGCTGTGTAAGTAGGCGACGATGGCGCAATCGGATGCGTTTTTGCCCGCTTATAAGGTTTGCAAGGGAGGTGAACGCTCGAGAGAGTGCAGAGTGAAATTTACAAGGATATTAACGAGGTTCCTTGCTGTGTTGGCGAAAAATGGGCCTCCGACGGGGAAGGCTTGGGATGACCGTCATGTTCCTACTTTCTGCTCCCAAAACCGCTTCCGTCCGCTTCCATCCAGTCCCATCCAGTTTCATGCAGTTCCACGCAGTCTCATCTGTCTCCCCCGTGCCCATGGCTTTATCTACCTCTCATGTCAGGAGCCAGATCGTGATCCTTAATAGTAAAAAAAGATATGATACCTTTCCGATTGGACTTTTTGCCGTTCAAATTTTTTCCTTTAGATTTTTTGCCCGGAACTTGTGGAGAGGCCTAAGGAAGAACTAGACATTAGTCAGTGGAACTTAACCATGCGTTATTCTGTTCTGGTACCATTTCAAATGATCAAAACACAAAATGATCTAGCATGACAGAAGTTCTGGAGTCCAGTCCTCACCGACCCCAGTGATGGTTACGTCTAAAGTAGCAGTGACCCATGGTAGCAGATAAAGGATTCGTCCAAATGAAGTCACAACTGCAAATATGTTAAGCAGTCGTACTACGAACTAAGCAAGTTCGATATTGATCTAGACGGGTCTGCGATGATACTACGCCTACTCTATTAAGGTGTTCAATGCCTCAGCGGCGAAGATCACAGATGTCGCTCTAGGGCCGCACCACAGATAACTGTCTCGCCCATACAGGCACCACCGGCACTTGAAATCCTAACGCTAAATACAGTCAACTTAACCCCCTCCCCTCAGTGGTAGCAGGGAGGCCTGTCCTCGCAGGGAAACCCAATGCTCAGATTATATTTTGATTTTGGTTTGGTTTATGGTCATGATTTGCCACGTTGTGTCTAGCGACATAGCGTCTTGGAAAGTTGAATTCCTCAATATTTCTTGCGCTAAAACCACTTGCTTTTTTGAAAAGTACTCTAAATTCAAATATGCAAGCGCAGGCATGCAAGTACAAAAAAGAGGATGGGCTGTCTCGGATTCTCGAGCACGGGAACTCAAAGTATGTATAACGCATATAGCATCTTTCTCATTTGATCAGTGCAAGCAATACACACCAATCGGTTTACATCAGTGGAAAAATATACTACGTTTCTATAACAGCCGGTTTCAATCACCACACATCACCTTTTAGATATAAACAGTTTCCTTCACGTGCTCCTTACTCGATAGGAGCCATCACTAAATGGTGTTGATGGACGAATGCCGCACTGGGATTTGGTCACGTGCTTTATAGCATACCACATGTTGTTGAGAGAAGAGTGACTGTCCCTTGCCATGCCAAACGACTTCGCGCACATGCACGCACCTTATGCAATGCTCGGCGCGTAATCCACAGCCCAGATCCGTGATCTCTTTAATAACATCACAGTCTTCGTATCAGCTTAGAAATATCAATCTTCACAACTTCCCAAAATCCGTACAAATGACAATCCAGGTCAACTCCATCAGTGGACATCTTTCCGCCAGTCGTGTTCCTCTCTGGCCGGGTTAGGGGACCCTGACAGCGATGCCACACCGTACCACTCGGGAGTGGCGAACTGGAAGTGACTCCTTGCCCCTCCCCCTTCTCTCGGCCCGAACATTAGGCGGTGTCAGTCAGATTCAAACAATGACGTCCCCTCATTTCTCAGAAAGCGTACACCGGAACGAAACAGCGTATCGATCGTCTCCGCCCATCCAGAGTTGCCAGCTGGAAGGGAGTGTTCCACATTTGTACGCGGTTTTAAACTGAAATAGCCATTTTAAAGATCATTCGGTGCAGTTCACAGTTCTGTTCTTCTTAAGACCTAAAACTCCCTATAGTTGAGCTACGCGTCCGCGCGTGCAGACTATTTAGCGCAAACTATTTCGAGATCACTCAGGCATGCATAAAGCCGTGGCAACGTCATTCAAAGCTTGTCACTCCACAGGCCAGGCAGCGTTCAAGGCCAGAAAAAAATATTCATCCAGTCGTTCGAATCTGGCGCACACATGAGCGTGATTTCCAAACATAGTGGACGTCGATTGGCTCTCAAATAATGCTGAACAAGGTGTGCAAGCTCCAATTACGAAGAACGTTTTGTGCGCCTAATATAAGAGGGCGGAGGCGGTTTCTTTACTTGACGGAAGTAGGACTTATAATGGAGGACTTGAACGCCAAGGCCGAGCATGTGAAGGCAAGTTAATATCTTAAACTAACGGAAAGATAAACAAGAATACCACGAGAAACGGCGAAAACAGGAGTGCATTGCGATTGTTGGCCTAGCGCACACTTTGAACCGGTGCTGCCATCTTTCAGTGAGTTTGAAGCATTACAGGTAAGTGGCAATTTTCGCACGGCTAGTTTGGCATTACCTCAACGTCATACAACGTTCCATGACACATTCAAACAATTACGTATTGAGGAGCATATTTATTAAGTGGAGAAATTGTGTTGTGTAGGGCAGTCTTTTCCATCAAAAGTAGTCTTATAGTTATAAGTGAGCTTATTTAATCATATTTCAAGCTTGCTTCCATATCTTCAAATGTGGAACATACCCTCTAACCATCATGCTGTCCACATCACTGAAAGTCGTAACCTGGCGTCGACACACATACTTCACGGATGTCGGCGCCAACCACTGCAGCCGCACGCCACGGATCTCATCCCGGTTCTTGAGAACTACTCGCATGGATATCACACGGCAAGCACCAACCCCACCGTTGCAGTGCAGGTTTGGCGCGTTCAGGTCACAGCATTTAAGAATCATGGGGCTGGCGTGGAAGCGGCTGACGGCACGCTGCACGGCCAGGCACCAGAACGCGAACTTCCCCCATACCAGCACCTCCACCGCCACCTCCATCCCCGCTGTGCTGAGGGTGATGCCAGCAGTTCTATTGAAGCGGCGCACCATGCGCGTCTGGTGCGTGACGAACACCAGCAGCAGCAGCGAACGCAGGCCCTCCGCAGACGTCTAGAGTTCACAGCTTTTGATGCCCCGTGAAATGCCCCTTTTCTGAGTACTCAATACATGTGTGGTTTTTTTAAAGAAATCAAAGGGATCGGATTTTTCATGTCGTAGATTATTATTACTTTTTATTTGTATATACATTTTTGTGTATACATATTTTTATTTGTATGTATAATACACATTACGCTAGAAACTGATCATTTCCGGACATTTATGAGTTATCTTTGAACTAGCTAATGTCACCAAGCAATTGGCACCAGTTTACCCTGCATTGCATTCGTTATCTGGGAATGTGTCACTTATGCTTGCTTTTTACTTTATCACGTGATCTCCCACGAACGGAACGCCGGCTCGGCCCCTTATTTTCACCTGAAAGATTTGTCTGAATTATTGTGCAAATTCATTCGAACCGGTTTTAGATCGGTTTCAACATGTTAGGTTGCTCTGCTTATCTCTCATCACACGTTATATTTGTGCATGACGAGAAAAGATCCGGCACGCAGTCACGTGTAGACACCACAGTTTTCGATGTTTCGTGAGCAGCCGAGAAATGGTCTCCTGTCTCATATAGTCTACACTGAAGCGTTAAAAAAGGAAAAGGGGTCCGAATTTTCAAGTCGTTGGACTTCGTGTTGAAGCGGACAAGAAATGCTGCATTTCGCCGGAAGCTTATTATTTTCAGACATTTCTAACTTTATCTTGCAAACTGGGTTGCATTCGATCGAGCATATGACACCACATTCGGCATTGCATTTGCTATCTGAAAACATGTCACTTATACTCGCTTGTAGAACCTCATCACATGACTTCACATGACCTGAACTCCAGGTCAGCCGCCTTATCTTTTGCCTAAAAGCTTCGATTCAAATTGCGCGTACGTTCAGCTAAAACAGGCTTATATCGGCTTCAGTAGGCTAGGTTACTCTCCTTAACCCTCAGCATGCGTTACATTGGCACGCGAAGAATATCAATCGGAAATGAGGTGACGTCTAGAATTCAGGTGGCGTCCAGAGTTCACAGTTTTTTTATTTCCGAACAAATCCGAGAGATACTCTTGTTGCCGGGGATATTCCATACTTGTAGTGTTCAGAATGTTCCTGGTCGTTAGGTCTCGTGCTTAAGTCGATGTGAAATAGTTCATTATGCGAAAAGTGATTAGTTTATAAGAAAATCAGAAATACCTTTCGATCCGTTCAGGTTTGACTATTTCGAGTTTTTCTGGGGTTGCATGATAGCTGAGTAATATGTAGTCGTGTGTACAATATGCATTATGTTTGTCCACATTTAACGGCTGACATGTTATGACCTCTGGAGGTGAAGCCGCTGGCAGGGACTAAAAACCACCCCGTGAAGCAGACACGCTCGTTCTCCAAAACCCCTTTCGATTGCTTCGAAACCTTCACCAACCGATTCAGTGAATGAGATGAGCAATGGCGCGGCAATATCGAAACCTGAGCCAGAGTGAAGCACCTCAAAAACGCGAATGAAAAAATGTCACGTACAAAAGCAGACAACTCAGCTCTCGGAACGTAACTGACCGATCGCTACGAAACTTTACTTTTGGATGCGTCACCCGATTCGCTGTTGAGGTTGATAATTCGGTGACCCCACGTCACATCAAAAGTCATCAAATTTCACAAACTCCAAAATTCTTGCCTGCAGAGAACTCATATCTCAGAGCTGATAACTCCGATCGTGCCCAAGCCCGCACCATTCGATGAGACTTGCCCTGCAGTTGCGATGTGTGCCATAAAGCTGCCGGCCCATGGAAATCGCGACGTCGGTCTCATTTATCGTGACATTTATCGTGGCATTATCGTGACCTCAAATTACGCACAGGCATGCTCAAAGCTCGTGCTTGAAAGCATTGTATAGTCAACGGCTGATTCAGGACATTGCTGAACGCACCCTGACAAGGACTGGTTCGCCTTACCAATTAAGATGTTCGACCCTGTTTCGATCCAACCCAGTGTGCAAATGGCACACAAGAATGAAAGCCCACAACCGTTTCCTTCCAGATGATATAGCTCGTAATGACAAGTAATGTCGATTTCGTAAATATTTAAGGCTTGGTCAAGTTGATAGGGAAAGAGCAACGTAGTATTCAGCTATAATGCTAAAATAAACAGAAAACATGCTGATTGTCTCAGCGCACTTCCCGGTTTGTAATGCTGTCAGACTGCACGTCATGGGTTATGTAGTCCGCCATCTCACATGTAGTGCAGAAGTGGCGTATTCACGGGACAAAAATGATTGTCGTTTAGAAACTGGCCCTTATGTCAATGAGTTCGTAGCGTATTGTATTCATGTCAATGCCGCGCAAACATGATATCATCAAATCAATTCCGTGAGCTCACGACGGCCTATCTTAATCACAGCGTATCTCCCGTTTTTATGTGAATCCCCGGGTTGGACCAGCCGCACGTGCGCCTTTGCTAATGTTCACGTTCTGGCCGCTGCCCCTGCCGAAACTGCTCGATGCGTCACAAAGGCGTTTACGTAAGGTGTCTGCGCATCTTGGGCTACCTTTGGTACAAATTTTGTTAAAATCGAAGGGGTTGTCGATTTCTGCTGAATGTGAATTTCACACTGTTGCTATCTGCAGAGATGTACAATCCAAGTTGGATGGTGTGTTCAGGGTGTGAACAATAAAATATGCTTACTAGGTGCACTGAACCAAACACCACCCATGTAAACCATCTGGAATGCATATACTAAATTTGTACATACATGGAAATAATAATCTACCCGCTGGCGTGTAGTCCTGCACTGTCATGGGCAAGAGGCCTCGCATTAGCTTCCCCAAATCCTATGTAAGCACATGTAGCAGTAAATCCAAGGTGGTCGCCATGGTCTGCCGAAAACGATTTCATAAGCGCGTGCGATTCAGCCTGAAGACCCACGTTAGACGACACAACGCGGGACTGTACGAGAGGCGCGGCTGAGACGGACCAGCAAAATTGACAGAAACCGTATACGGTGCGTCGGCGTGCCAATTGCATGAGCGTCAAATGAGTTTTGGGACTGGACTGCGGTGTGCCCACTTCACCATTTCTAAATTTTGCCGCTTCAACGTGCTTTTTTATTCCGGACGAATGCAAACCTGCAACCTTTGGCATGCAGGCTCAGGACCACGAGCAATGAACTGAAAAAACAGTCCACTCAAGATTTGATGGATCAAAAAGTCCAACAGTTTGAAATTTGACCGTTGAAATATTCTCGTATTCCGAACTGCAGTGAATACAAAGCTGACTATTGTTTACTCAGTACCATAGCTAGGAGCTCACAAACAGCAGCTACCCCCACGTTTGCGTGGTTAAGTGAGCACCAAAATGATTTTCTCGAATAGTCTTGAGACCGGATTCCCAAGTCGTACATCGTCGTAAATCCCAGAGGATTGCTCTGTTTAGAACCACCATGTTGTACGAAATTGGCTGCAAATGGCAGCCAAATTCGACCAACCGACGCACGAAATACCGGGGCGTATCAACCTGGAGCTTTGAATACCAATATCCATGAAACGAAGACCGTTTTCACAACACACCTCTACTGAGAGAAGTACCATCTATTTCCTCACGGATCCATAAGCAGCTAATCGTACCTTATTTATGCAACATCCAAGCGGCGTCCGACTATCCGCACATAGTAGGACACAATCATGTGTGGGAGTATACACACGGCGAACAGTAATGTATACTACATATGTCAGGACCATGGTTAGCTCACAAACGGCTGTATAAAGAGGCTGGCAATACGCTTGTGCATACTGGTCCGTGAGGGCCAGCAGCAACAAATATCACGATTCCACGCCACATTTCCTCAATCTCTACCTGTTGCATCTCGAAGGCAGGTAGAATGCATCCAGTTTGAGAAGCGACCCGTTGGCACGTGAGCCTTGCTGAAAACAACCTCCACGCGTAGAATTACCACCAGAATACAATCACGCAGTTATTAATTCGTAGCATCGCGGATTCGCGTGAACCTGCCAAGCCGGGCCAGCGACGGGGCAGCGGACAGCAGTTCCACCTGCAGCGGCTGGGCAGCGGACAGCAGTTCCACCTGCCGCGGCGGGGCAGCGGACGGCAGTTCCACCTGCCGCGGCGGGGCAGCGGACGGCAGTTCCACCTGCCGCGGCGGGGCAGTGGACAGCGGCGCCACTTAACGACCGTGGACCGAGCGTGACCCGCGCTACTCTCCAGCCACACGGTGGACCGTCAGTCCACATCCGTCACCAGAGCCAGCACACAGCTGCCACACCAGACTGAACAGCCCGCACTGTCCCTCCCCGGTCAGGCAGCCCGATGGATAGCAATCCCCTATCCACCACCAACGGCACAACACAGCCGGTACAGCAGAACCGAGTGTTCACCCGCACGCGGGAGTTCCGTGCGCCGGGTTTCTGAGGTTCTGAGCCGTGACTGACACGGCTACGTCTTCTTGACGCGCTTGGCGGCGGGTGGGGCGGGCAGCGCGGGCCCGGCCGGGCCGCGCGCCGGACGCTTGCGGTGCTTGGCGTCGTCCGGGTCCGCGTCGTCACCGGTGTGCGCGCGCAGCCGTTCCTCCAGCCGCGCCAGCTTGGAGGCCAGGTCGGCGATTAGCAGATCCTGGGCAGAGAGCTTCTCAGCCTGGTCGTTCAGCTGCTGCCGCAGCTCGGTCAGCGACTGGCCCTGAGTGCTGGAGCGGGACCGCTGGGCCGACACCTGGCGAGAGACGTACTGATGACGTCACAATACCGCAGCTGGGTCAGCGACTGACGCTGATACATGCTCTCTAACCAGTCACCACACACGAGCGTGTTTTCGTTCGCTTCTGGGTCTCGGGAGCGAGACACTAGACAGGACGGACCTGCTGCAACTCGGGTCTGGCAGCCAGGCGCGGAAAGGGCCCGTTTGTTCAGGTGAACCTAAACGCACCGTATTCCAGCCCACCACTCTCCGGTTGCCTCTATAGCGTCACTGCAAGCCAGAGCCTGAGTCAAGCCCGCAGCCTGCCAGAGCGCCACCTATCGAGAAGACCTTGTACTAATTACCACGCGTGTGCTGAGTCTACGTCCACCCGTGAGCATATCTGCGTTTGAATTTGCAAACCGAACCTTGGATTGACGTCTTTACTTTTAGTGCGAAGACGGGCTGCACTGACCGAGGATGCATCGCTGAATGCCCAAAAGAACGTCCGCTACTTTATCTACGAAACAATGTCTACGAAGGGAATCATACGGAACACGACGCCAATCATAACGGACTGGACCACAGTATAACTGTCCTCTTTACGCAGTATACATCGTGCTTAACTGTGTGTAAACTGTTACACATGTCCATCAATTCAAGAATTTATCATGTAAACGTCAATCGTGTCCATGCCAGCCAGTATAACGGTAACTGTTTTTCCCCGGCGAGACAAAAAGCTACGCCACATCACTACAGGCTTGCCCGATGCCGGACAACTAGAGGAAGCGGGCCCACCGAGGAGAAGACAATGCGATGCACTCTGTGCCCGTCGCTGTTCAATGCTTCTCCTGCTGCTATCCAGCACAACAACGCCCAACCATCTCCTCAATTTGACCTGTGCAACGTGAGCTGACCATACAGCGTCATGACGTGGAGCTAACCATACAATACCATGACGTGAGCTGACCATACAGTGTCATGACGTGAGCTAACCATACATAAATGACGGAGCTGACCATCAACATGAGTACCATGACTGAGCTGACCATACAGTGTCATGACGTGAACTGACCATACAGTACCATGACGTGAGCTGACCATACAGTATCATGACGTTACTGACCATACAGTACCATGACGTGAACTGACCATACAGAACCATGACCTGAGCTCGACCACAGAACCATGACCTGAGCTGGCATACCGTACCATGACGTGAACTGATCATGCAGTATCATGACGTGAACTGACCAAAGTGCCATGACGTGAACTGACAATACGTACCATGACGTGAACTGACCATACAGAACCATGACCTGAGCTGGCCATACAGAACCATGACCTGAGCTGGCCAAAACCGTACCATAACGTGAGCTGACCATACAGTATAACGACGTGAGCTGACCATACAGTACCACGACGTGAGCTGACCATACAGTACCATGACGTGAGCTGACCATACAGTACCATGACGTGAGCTGACCATACAGTACCATGGCGTGAGCTGATCATACAGTACCATGACGTGAGCTGACCATACAGTACCATGACGTGAGATGACCATACAGTACCATGACGTGAGCTGACCATACAGTACCATGACGTGAGCTGACCACACAGAACCATGACATGACTGACCCAGTGTTGTCATATTTACCCCTTGGGTGACAGCGATGCCAATATGTTTTCATGATACTACACCGCGGCTTGAGGCTCACTGTCTGTTGCCCATTCCCTTGCTCAAATCAGCCAATCAGCATCGAACAATGCGACAGTCAACCCAGCAGTCGAAGCGCCTCAGGCTTTACAAATGGCCCGGACAGGTCAGGGTCTGGTTTGGGGTCAAAGGGCATCTGCTGAGCGCCAACGAATGGCGAGTGAGGACCGCCAGAGAGCCGGGATTCGGGTGGAATGCAACTTTATTTATATCCTTGCACACCCTACTAGAAAAATTTGGAATGCTCAGCATAGCATAACATACCATGACATGAGCTGAGCATAGTGTGCCATGACATGCATTGTCGACGCAGGATAATGACGTGAGCTGCCGCTACAGTATCACGACGTGGGGTGCCCATACTGTGCCATGACGCGAGCTGACCATACAGCACTGACCACGTCCAGTGGTCCCCTCCCCTTCCGCCCAGATCACAGCACGCACCTGCTGGCTGAGCTTGGCCACAGAGTGCTCCACCACGTTGATGCTCTTGTTGCGAGCCTCGATGGCGGCGCGCTGGAGGAGAGCAGGCTGCCCAGGCACGAGTGGGCCAGGTATCACCCGACGGAGCGCCGCCGTCTGCAGAGGGACGAGGTCAGCAGGTCGCTCACACACAGACTGGGCCAGGTGTTATCCGACGACGCGCCGCCGTCTGCAGAGGGACGAGGTCAGCAGGTCGCTCACACACAGACTGGGCCAGGTGTCACCCGACGGCGCGCCGCCGTCTGCAGAGGGACGAGATCAGCAGGTCGCCAACACAGACTGGGCCAGGTGTCACCCGACGCGCCGTCCGCAGAGCGTCGAGGTCAGCAGGTCGCACAAACACTATTATGAGCGGTAAGAAAAAGTCCAGAGCAGGTAGCGGAATACAGGAATTGGCAGCGACAGCGTGGGCCGGGTTACTGCAAGGCAAACGTGGCGCGACATTCACAACATACAAAAACGACGCCGACGTGAGTGTCCAGTCCGCAGCTGCCAGGGCCATGCTGCACGATCCCGCTCGGATTTCTTGCTTTAAGAAGTTATGCGTGGTCTGCGCGGCTGCCCAGCCAGGCCTCGCTCGGTGCTCTGCAAGCCCAGACGGCAGGGCAGCGACCGGCCCGGCAGGCCTGACTGCGACGTACCGGCGCTGCTGGCACCGCCGGAGAACAGGCTGAGCAGCGAGAGCGGCCGCGGCCGGGCCTCGTTCCGCTTCAGGCCGGGCACGATGTGTTCCTCGAAGTGCTCCATGGCCATGGAGGAGATGTCACGCAGCTCCTGCAGCACGGTGAAGGACGAGCGCTCCACCGAGGGCGCCTCCTTCAGGTAGCGCACCACCCGGAACACTTCGTCCAGCACCTGCCGGCGGAGAGAGGAGGGGAAGGGGTGAGACGCCAGCTCCGAAACTCCGCAACGCAGGGCTTTGCGCAGGGCGGAAGACGCAGGGCATGGGAGTCTGGGACCTCAGGACGGTCCCACACTCCGGACCATTCCTGGCCAGTAAGGGTGAGCACAGACGGGCGGCCGGCACCGGCACCAAACAACGGGCATCGCTCCAGCACGGGCTGACTAGACATCGTTCTTCATCGGTCCCGAATATTTTGCCCACGTCCACTGCTCTCGCCTTTAAGGCCCATCATTTTTTTCATATATTTGATCGTTCTGTCGCCGTAGATGTATGGCCTTAGTGAAACAATTCAAAACGCATCTTTGTGTCCCAACTTTTTTAGTTCCACTGTCTAGGGTTGTGTTACCCATCATCATTCACCAGCCCCTGCAGGTGCCCTCAAAAGGCTAACAGAATTCACTTCCGCGCACTCCGACCAGTCGTTGATCTGCTAAGCAGCAGGCATAACGCTACATCTCAGGCCGCGCAAGCATCCCCCTCCGTAGATCTCCCCCGCGTCAGCTGCCCCAGCGACCGGACCGGTCGGCCCCGGCGGCGTCGGCCAACCCACCTTGCCCGGAATGAAGCAGCACGCGTCCATCTCCATGTAGCGGCGGTAGGTCGAGGTCATGCTGAGCAAGCCGAGGCGCGTCTCGACGGCGGCCAGGTGCTCCACGCGCCGCGAGAGCGGGTGCTCGCGCCGCTCCGACTCGCGGCGCGGCAGCTGGGCGCGGAACAGCTTCAGCGCCTGTTGCACATACCGCTCGGCGCGCGAGAAGCCCTGGTTCAGCCGGTGCCGGATGGCGCGCTCGAACGTGCGGCACACCTGGCGGCGGGCAGGAGCTGGTTCACGGACAGCACGCCGGCGACTCTCGGCACGCGTTGGGGACGACACGGCTGCTCGTGCGAGCACCAACGGCAGCCCACACACCAGCGCACCACGTTAACCACTCCACAGGCACCACCCGGGGTCAAGCATCCATGACAAGCTCCGTCCGGTCCATCAAACACGGCAGGAACTCAAACCGCACGCCACACGCGACGGCGGCTGATGAGTCGTTTCAGGTTCAGACCCAAGCGTGTTCTATTGCGTTTTATTGCCATCCATGTTTCGCAACGCCTATGCTTCTGCTTCGTTATTATTTATGTGGCACGGTGGGCACCTTCAACAATTCACAAGGAAGCAGCTGTACAGACGATGCATTAGGCTAAGCTAGCGATTAGTTTACACCACGACGTACCAGCCGGATGTTGGAGGCGGTCTCATATGAAAGATAGCTGATGATCGCCTCCAGGAGTTCAGGAGGCAACATCAGAATGTTGGCAGGCTCTCTGCCCAGATCGGCTGTGACGAGATCCATGACGGCTGCTGTAAACGCACATTACGTGTTAGGCAATACAGATCCATGTGTAAATGATGGAAAGAGCTTGAGCCTTATCATTTGTGAAAAACGAGATCATAATCATACCGCAAATGGCTATCCCTCTAATCCATTGTGTGGACTGGGCAGGATGATCAGAAAAGTTCACCTACAGCAACGATGACTGCTTGAATGTACATCAGATAAGTGTGTACAACACCTGATGTGCATCAGCACGAGTGCATTGGCTCGAACTTCGACAGATGTTTCGCCGGACGCACTTTTCAAGGGTTGGTAGTGTCCACACCTCCAACAAAATAGTGGGGTGAGTTATATGTGCACGTCATACCGCATCTCCACGAGATCCACTGCTGACTATGAGTGTTACCATCTCCAGCGTTATTTATCAATATCTCTCTGTCTACGCCAGTTGGTGTAACTTATTAACACAGATTCTACGTCAACGATTGTAGGATCAAGTATGCACACTGTGCGGCCTTTGGTTCTAAATGCCTCAGGTGAAATGGGCGCAATCCGTGCAATCCTTTAGGCAAATGTATCCAGGACTGTTTTAATGTTTGATTTGTAGAAGTCTGCAAAACGTAATTTCACATCAAGTGCACCTATGGATCCTCCCTGCCCCAGGTACAGAGGGGGAGGGGGGGCGCACCACACTGGGTGCCAGCTGTGAAACTGATCAGTGCGACGGCAGGGTGTAAACAGTGTTGCTCCCCGCCACCCCCGCGACCGAGGACACTAGAAACATAGTGAGTGTCACATAGTACAAACACAGCATGTCTGCGACCCACGCCACATCAGATCTGAGGGTAGCTTTCATTACAGGCTGCAGCATAGCCAACATGAACACAAGACTGTTGATGAGAGCATGCCTATTTTCCCAATCCACTGTCAGATTATGTAGATGTCTACCATACTCCAACAGCCAGCTCGAGCCATTCCTGGTGCACAACTAGAAAGAAATGTAGGCCAGCAACAATGGGATGGCCAATGGGGTTTAGGTTTCTGGGACATAGTCAAGTTGGACCCTGTTTTATCAGCAGCTTAAAGTTCTTCTGGGGGTAAACAGTGGCACCTCTCATGTTTGTAGTAGGGCCAATAATAACATGACCTAGTGCACACTCTGTGCTGTGCAAATCAGCTAGCCTTTCACTACAAACAACTGACAGCACTTTTTTCTTGTTGCCTCCCTTCCTAACTGACATAATGACACTAACAGGTCAACATTTCAGATGAACCAATGCCAAGCCACATGTTTTCTCTCACTGTAGTCTTTGTTGTGATGATTAACAAGATGCCAGGTTAAACAAGCAAGATGCCTCTTGTGACATGGGACCAGTAATACCATGATCAACACAGCCTAGTATAAAATATGGCAGCAACGGCGCACATTTCACGACTAGCCATAGTGCTCCCATGTAAAATGCTCTTCTCCAGGCCCACAGCTTTCATAATCTTAAACATATATATGCATACAAAGTGCATAGCAGTGAAGCTTGTACAATTCTCTTTTAATTTCCGGGATCAAAGTGTGTGCCATAGCATTCATTTTGAACCATCATATAAGGGCGTAGACCCATGTACGCGCCGCGATGTCCAGGCCTAAGATCGAATCCCGCTGTCGCCAACTCTTTCAGCAGAGTCAAGATGGAACATGGAGTGAATATGGTCGCTGACTGGTGATAAAACTATTGAGTGCAATAATATTCTGATTAGCTATATATATATACATATATATATATAATATTATAACATAACACATTAATGTATATAAAATATGCATATCCATGCATATTGTCTAGCCTGAAGATGCAGCTGCTGTGCTGTGAAACATGCCGCAAGTTACTACAAAAAATACATATGAGATCTCTTTACATCTATAAAATATACCTGACAGATGTTATGCAGCCTTTGGGCTTCATGCAACAGCCTATGGCTGAGGTGCATAGCATAACTGTGCCTGATGTATGGAACCTATGGCGATGGTAGCGATCCAAAGCTGGGCGTCCTCAATCCGGCCAGTGGTAGGACCAGGCACTGTGTTAGGTGCTTAAGGTGCGATGCTGGCGGCCACTGCTGTGTAGGGCTGGCAATGCTGCCTCAAGACCAGCACAGCAATGATGACACAGTAACATTGCCAGCACCTCTGATTGGGAAGCAGTTGTGCTTAAAAGCAGGATGGTTAACATTATAGTGGTGAGTGCCATGATGGCGAGCTATACTGCACAGTGGTGCTGATGACAAAATTTTATAAAAACTACTTTGATTGATCCTGAAGAGCTTAAACACCTGACGGACCTATGGCCTAAGTGACCATGCTCCCTAAAACCATTTGCAGAAAGGGTTTTTTTGGCATAAAAGAGATAAAAAACATTTCATCACTGGCTACACTAGTAACTAAACCTGAAAAGCTAGCTTCACATTACAAAACCTGCAAAATAAATATGTGAAACTTAAATGACAAAATTTTTATATTTGTCATCCAGCCTTGTAATTTATAACTAGCTTCCATCCATTAATCCCCAGGTAGGAAAGGTACACCAAAGCATCTAGAGTGGAATGGGCAGCTTAGACAGATTTAGAAGATGCATCAGTATCTGACACATATGCTGCATTTGCTTAAGGCAACAAAAGCCCTCAATGGACCTTAGATTGCCCAAAACCATGCCCCAGTTATACACATTTTTACACAAATGTTGCATGTTATGTTGATATCATATTTCTGTATCACCCTTGCACTCAACATTTGCTCATATTGTTGCAAGGAAATTGTTTTGTATAATTTTTGGAATGATGTTCTGTAACATATACAATGCTGAGGATTGGGTTACAGCTAGCTTTCAGAATATTGCAATATTTGACATAAAAACATCAGCTTCTATAAATGACACAAGTATGAAATCCTCCCTTGCATAAGCAGTCATTCTATGATGTCAAAATGAATTTGATAGCCCCGCATCCTACATGATAATTATTTCAGAAAAAATCATAAAGATGATTTATCTTGCTGACTAACTGTACATTTCAGGTACAACACAAGCCATTGCACCAGTAAATACATTAACTATGACATTTGCTTCTTACATTGGATACACTTACCAAGCACAGGTTACTGTTAAATGTCAGGTTTATGCTACATGCAGTCTCATGGCGATGTTGAATTTTGTGATGGTGGCCTCCAACAATGTTGAAATGCACTGGCAAATGTTGGCTTGCCCTTCACATATTGTTGCCAGAATATTACAACAAAACAAAGGTAAAAGTCACACCATGATCATCTGCTTTGGGCATCATTTGATGAGATTGGCTGGACTTTTGAATGAAAGACACTAAACTACAACATGAAAATAGCATTTAATCAAAATGAGGTGTCCAGACAGAATGAAAAACACACATTAGGTGGAGGTGAGGTGGAGTTGCTCTCAGCACAGCCCAACAATAAGCCACACACATTGATTCTTCTGATCTGGAAAAAACATAACTTACAATTTCACATAAGCTGAATTATGCCAGAAAACCTAGCCAATTTTTGATGTCAGATGACCTATTCTAAAAAGTGCTGGCTGGTCACTCCTTTCCTTAAATTTCATATCAGGTATGTGCACAACACTGCATCATACCAAACATTTCCATTACATTAAAGTGCTTTCATTTCTCAATACACACATCTAATGCAATCACACAGCTGTGCTGAACTGACATAATTACTGGTAAGCCCATTCCATGGGTGGTAGTGCCTCTGTAGATATAAGCTATCATTGCATATGTTGAATATTCAGATGCCAATCTGATGGCGATCTCAATATTCACATACTAAAATATACAAGATCCTTCGCTCCATCATAAATATACCTGAGCAGACCTTGATCAATCACTTCACCTACAGCCTCCAGAAGCATTCAATAGCTGGTAGCCTAGGCCACAGTATTCATAACTAGCAAGTTGTGCAGTAACTGAATCCTTACATGATCAGTTTTGATGCAGAATATTTAAATGAGCCATTATATGTAAGCTAAGACACAATATGACTTGGCAAAGAGCAACATACATCCGATTAGCCCAGACACATCTGAAATTACTTGAACACAATCTAATCCGCCAACCACCATCCCCACTACCCGCTACCACACTTTGTACACTTAAGGGGCCTTGGCCCCCAATGTTGACTTGGGCCCTCTTAATATCTCAAATATGAACATAAAAGGGAATATTGGGCCAGTGAGCCATTGTGATTATGAAATGAAAGAAGTGTCAAAACTGCTAGCATGCTAGGTACCAAAATGCATCACCACCAATATAACTTTCATGTATTGCTATCATCATTATCATATCAGCCTCAAATAGAAGTGATTCTCCAACATTAAAACAACCTTGGAACCAACTAGACTCTTTGTAGTTGGAGCCAACTAGTCTCCTTGAAGATTTGCTTTTATGGCCCAATCTTGCAGTAGTTGGGATCTGAAATGTTTTACTATGGCCAGCTTCAGAGAAGGCATTATTAGCTTATTCCCATAATATTCTTATTGCAACACCTCTTGGCTGGAAGGAGTTAATAATGTATGATTGGTAGACAACCCATTTGCCAGCACATTTCAGTTCTTGTCTGATCTGCCTGCCCTGTTGCCAAGATCTGGAATAAATCATGAAAAGCATTTCAAGAAATGCAGATTCATATATTGTGCCTGACTTTACCTGAGTGACCACATGCACTGACTCACAGTTTTGACAGCACTATTCCCCCCTAATCGCGTTACTGATCCCACACAACTGTGATGCAGGGCTGTCCAAGTCAAGACCCCTTTTTAATATGGTGTCTGAAACTGGTTCAGCATCTTGGCAAGGGAGAATAGAAGCACTAATAAAATATGGAAATGAGACAAGGCCTTTGCAATCAACCCAAGGCCTCTTGTAACGACAGTATGGCAGGCGTGGGGGGCCCACAACATAAACGGTCTTAATAAACTAATTATAGCACGAAAATACTGTAGATACCAATACCAGTAGAAGC